TGCCTCTCTTAAGAATTCTGCACCTTAATGAGTTTTGAGATAAGACAAAGTCCATTACTCACTATAGGAGCACAAATGGCTAAACTCTCACTTTCTCAGTGATTCTTGAAGCTAAGATGTGAGTACATGACTTATACTCAGCCAGTCAGACAAATTTTATTTCCCTTTCCTGGTCCTCCACCCCATAAATCCTGAACTAGTGATATCAAGAGGCAGGAACAGGGGAGATGCCATTTTGGAGACTGCACAGTAGCAGCAGATGTATCCAATCTCCAGAAGAGGGTGGTGGGCAGGAGTTTGGTCCAGTGGAGGGGTGCAACTGTGGTAGACAGTGCTTAGTGGCAGGAGCAGCCCTACTCTTACCAGATGGGTTTCATGGCATGAATCCAAGCTCTGGTTCTACTTTCCTACTTCCCATTGCTTTCTCCAATGTCCTGAACCTGGTTCTGCCGTGAGCTCACCAATGACTTTTCAACAAATTTCTTTTCTGCTGCAAACAGCCAGTCAGTTTCTTGGCTAACAACTAAACCTTCTGATTTTACAAATAAATTATAGCCAAACATTTTGTTTCTCAAAAGAGTTGTTTGACTCCAAAAAGTAAGACAAATATCTTATGTTTCCTTCTAAGGGGGTTTTCCTCTGCAACCATATTTTTTAAATAAAGTGGCTGCCTGGTAGTTGTTTCTATGCTTTTCTGAAGATCACTTCTCCTTAGGTTCACGAGAACCAGCCCAAGGACAACTCATCATCTCTTCATTACTTTCCCAACTCTCATTTTTAAGGGTCTGCTTGCATTTCAATAAGCAGTAACATTTACCAAGTCTTTCCTACATACCTTTATTTATTTTCTCTAGGTATGTGCTATCTTTTCACTGCCCCAAAATGCCTTGTACCCCATCACCTGTGCTTAATCCTTAGTTTCTTACAGTGATTCCTCCCAGAATGGTCTGGAACTCCCCACCATCACCTGCATTTTGTGGCTTATCTTTACTAGCATGCTCTTTAGTATAAACTTTCAAGTTATGGAAGTGATTCTTCCACTTCTGCACAAAGTCAACGTTTCATAAACACCTGATTATTCTATTATTTCTGTTTGGTGTTCCAAATACTAGGTCTTCTGTCTTTCAAGTTTACTTCCAACTCAATTATTGACTGTTGTAGGAAACGTAATAGGACCTCCTGACATACATGAAGCCAGAGAAAACAAGAATAGTACTACTAGTGTGAGCAAAAGCTTGTGATTAGCAGTAATCTAGAGAAGAGACAAAGAAAATTATATGCAAAAATTATTCCCATGTGCTTTGAAACTGCTCTGAAATGATACTGTAGATTCAAGCCTTCAAAACGTTTGTTGCAGAATGGCTCATCTTTGTATGGAGGTAGAATTGCTCATCCCATCACTCTGATGGGGATGTTGGTAAAGTTGCTAATTTCCACCAAAGGATATTGATCTAAACTCCTAGTCATGATTTTTTGCTGAAACACATGAATTTGCTATCAACCAACAATTATAAATGCCTATTATCAAGGCCCTTGCTAGGGAATGTAATCTTATACTCTCTACCATCCAGTTCAGTTAAATTCCGGTTGAGATAGGTGGTATCTGGGGAGAACTGTTTGAACAATTTCTTCTAAGTGTTCTAAGCGATATTATTAGGGCAATAGATTCTATACTGGACCATAACTTCCTGTCTTCTTAGAGATTGCTGGATTTTGTCATAGTCTTCAGCATTTAGGGAGGAGCAGAAGAAACGGAGAAATAAAATCCATTACCTGGAGGGGTGATGTAGATATTTTCTAGTCCAGACTCACTGTCTCCTCCATGAAACTTCATGTGAGAAATGATTTTTGGCCATATATACAAGGAAAATCTTTGTTTTCCCTGAGAGTGTCTTTTTCTTTAATAAGAATTCATGTAACTGATACATATTTCTTTTCACTTTGCCTACTGGGAAGTTCAGATGCAAGAATAAGAATGAGAGAAAGAGAACTATGAAAGAACTTAGAGTCTGACTATATTTTTTCCTCTGGCTTTACTTACTTATTTACTTATTTTATGATATATTAATACATATATATTTACATATGTATATATGTTGAGATATTATGGTTCTTTATTTTTATTTGACAATTCAGTCATTATTTTCTTATTCATGCCTTAATAAATTGCTGCAATCCTTTTACATGCATAAATATATAAACAGATGAATAAAGATGGCTAAGTAATGTGGCATGAACTTTAGCCATTTTCTTTATTAACAATAATTTCTTAGTAAGTATATACTACTCTGTGTGTGTGTGAGGTGCTTGATGAGTGAAAAGATGCCAGATCCCTAAGACAAAGTCCCTGACCTTAAAAGTCTTGAAATCTAATTGAGATAATAGGGCTGGTACAAGGAATACAATATCAAAACTATATATACTAAATTATGTATATGTGTGCATATATAAAACATACATATCTATATAAATATAAAATGGATACACAAGTCATGTAGTAAGATCTTTCCTGCCTAAAAGGATAAAACTAAAACAGATACAAGATGCATCTTCAGAACCATGTCTCCCAAAGAGCGCTACTCCCCTCTCATTCTTTGCTGTCTCCTAATGCCGAGGCAGTACCCTACCCACTTCTAAATCTAGGATGATTTTATTTTTAAAATTTCAAGAATGTATAGATTATAAAAGAAAGGATTATATTGTTATTTTTTCAATATCTTTTCTTATTGTACATTTTAAAGCATCAATGCTCTAACATGCCTCAGAAATAAATTTTATTTCACAACTCATAATGTATACGCATAGACACGCATACATACCTGAAGCATAAGTTTCACAGAACACTATTTTCTATGTGTGGCACACTAATAGTTTCTATTTTGTTCCATTTTCTTTCTTTTCTTTTTTTTTTTTGACATTCTGGTCATCATGTTTCTTTTTTTTTATTGCATTTTAGGTTTTGGGGTACATGTGCAGAACATGCAAGATAGTTGCATAGGTACACATGTGGCAGTGTGATTTGCTGTCTTCCTCCCCTTCACCCACATCTGGCATTTCTCCCCATGCTATCCCTCCCCAGCTCCCTGCCCCACTGTCCCTCCCCTATTCCCCCCAATAGACCCCAGTGTGTAGTGCTCCCCTCCCTGTGTCCATGTGTTCTCATTGTTCATCACCCACCTATGAGTGAGAATATGCAGTATTTTATTTTCTGTTCTTGTGTCAGTTTGCTGAGAATGATGTTCTCCAGATTCATCCATGTCCCTACAAAGGACATGAACCTCATCGTTTTTGATTGCCACATAATATTCCATGGTGTATATGTGCCACATTTTCCCTGTCCAGTCTATCATCGATGGGCATTTGGGTTGATTCCAGGTCTTTGCTATTGTAAACAGTGCTGCAATAAACATTGGTGTGCATGTGTACTTATAGTAGAACCATTTATAATCCTTTGGATATATACCCAGTAATGGGATTGCTGGGTCAAATGGAATTTCTATTTCTAGGTCCTTGAGGAATCGCCACACTGTCTTCCACAATGGTTGAACTAATTTATACTCCCACCAGCAGTGTAAAAGTGTTCCTATTTCTCCATATCCTCTCCAGCATCTGTTGTCTCCAGATTTTTTAATGATAGCCATTCTAACTGGCATGAGATGTGCCACTTAATTATATTTATTATAAATAGCACTGTTTTCAGAAAACAGGAAGTTCAAATTTCCAAGGGCCAAATGTTTTAATTTTCTGAAGGAAAAACTATTCTTTCAGAGATCAAAGAAGATGGGATAGATGGTACAGCACACTGCCTCAGATAGAGGATACAGTATACTCCTGCTTATCTACTTAAGTATTTGCTCAGAAATTCAAAATATGTAGATTTATGATGCATGTGACTCTCCCTAAGAGGGAAAAATACATCCCTAAGTTGTATTCCCAGTAGGAACACAGCAACCCAGATAAGTAAATCAAATTTCAAATGCTTTTAGTATTAGTGTCTGCAGGTTGTAAAAATGGGCTTAACTTATAATTCAGCTTTTCTCTAGCCTGAGTTATAATAAACTGAAAAACATTTATATATGCATATAATTCAGTAATCTTGAAAACTGCATTATTACTGACTAATCAGTTATTACCTTAACATTAGATTTCTTCACTGAAGAAATAAATTATTCAGCAAACAAAGCAAAGTAAAAAAAAAAAGACCCAACTCTCTTTCATGAATTGAGACATTGTTAATCATCCAACTTAAAGAATTTGGAAAGTAAAATGCTATTATTAATAATTCTATTGAATCATGATCACAATTGTGAATAAAAACACTTCCAATGTTACAATATAACCTCTAGGGTTATTCATGCCAGAAACATCTCATCTGGGCCTCAGCATTCCCCAGGAGAAGATTAAGAAAGTTATAATCTCTTTACCCTGTCAAGTCTAAGATAATACTTAATTGTTACTGTGTACTTGTAATTCCAGATCACACTGGACAGAAACCCCTACCTTTAACAAATAGTTCTGTTCTAGCTAAATCATATCACATTCACTTCTCAGCCTACCAATTAATATCCAACCAAATTGGAGCTTGGTGAATTTTTGGCAGGTTTGTGACACTGTGCCTGAAACCTGTAATTTTAACTAATTATAGAAATTCTGGGCAGGAAGCCTTCTGAAAAGATGATCGACTTCATTCCCCTCGTTTAAAACTTTGAAACTGCCCCAGACCAAGAGTTCCCTCTTCTATTTTAACTTAAAGAGAAGAAACAATATTAGCATGAATGATCACTCACTGTGCAACTGGAACCATACTAGGTCCATTACATGCATGATCTGATTTAATCTTTATCTTAATGTAGTAGGAATTATTCCTATTTTAAGAGGAGGAAAAGCTCAGAAAAACTAAGCTGAACAAAGGGAAACAGAGCGTTCACTGTAGAGCTGGGATCTGATCCAAGATCCATAATCTAACTCCAGAAACTAATGATTCTCTGTCATCTTTCCAGATGTAGGCTGGAGGTAGCTGCTCAGAGCACACATCTCTTCCCAATTCCACAGTTCATGAAGATCCATCAATAGCTTGAAATCAGCCTTGGTAGGAGTATTCACATCTTGAAAACTGGTAAATACTACAAATCAGGGCTTTCTTCTTTGGAGAGCTATTTGCTAGCACACTACTGCTTATAATATTTGTATTTAACATTTCACAAATGTCAAAAATTGGGTGTTTCTATTGATCAAGTTTTTTTTTTTCCAAAAACAAATAGTAGCAGGAAAGTTTAGGTAGAGTATATTTCAGCATTTGCTTCCAACATTTACTTTCTATGTACCTTTGACTATCATGAAACAAACTTAGAGGTTTTAGTTATCTAAAAGTAGTTACAATAATATAAGTCCCCATGCCTCCATTATCCAGATTTAATAATGTTCAACATAAGGCCAACCTAATTTCATTGCACACATCAAGCATGGTTTTTTTTCTCCCCAGCTGGATTATTTTCAAGCAAATCTCAGATATTTTATCATTTTATTTGTAAATATATTATTTTGTATTTTTAAGAGATAAGCTCATTTTAAACATTATCACAATACTATTATTGCATGTTAAAATTATCAGTAATTCTTTAATGTTATCTAATAATTGGTCCATATTTAACCTTCCCTGATTCCATCAAAGCTCTTTTTTACAGAGCTGCTTTGTTCAAATCAAGATCTGGAGCATCTGGATAAAATGTCTCTTAAGAATTAATTTATTCTAATTTGTTAATTAATCTTTTGATAGTCCTTTCCCTCTTTTTTCTTTTGCCATTTATTTGAGTCATTTGTCCTGTAGAATGTCTTACATTTTGGATTTTGCTGATTGGTTTCCATGGTATCACATGATATGCTCCTCTTTCTTCTGAGTTTCTTGAAAATTGGTAGTTAGACCCAGCGGTTTGATCAGATACATGTCCTACTTTTTGACAAGTATATTTCATGAGTGGGGTTCTACTTCTACATCACATCAGAAGGTGAGTAATTTCTGCTGTCTTTCTTTTGCTAATTAGTGAGTTTTGGTCTTCTCATCCTATGTCATCTTATAAAAATTCTCCACCAACCTTTCATCTAATTGTATGGGCAGCAATTGATGATCATTTCCTAAATTCGTTATTTCAGCAAGGGTAACAAAAGAGTGATGGTTTAGGTCTTTTATTCCTTCTTCATGTATTGGCTGGAGTTCTTCTGTAGAGCAGACATTTTACTTATCAGCTATTTGGTTAGCCTGAATTACAGTTTGTACAGGAACAACAGCATAAATGTTTTCATTCCCTTTACTAACCAGTTTACATAATGAATTTACACTCTTGTATCCTTCAAGGTTAACAGAAAGCTTATTTTCTTCCTTTTTTTAAAAAAACTTTTGCCGTCATTATGCACTAATGAATGTTAATATATCTGATGTTTTTCCATAAATTGCAGACATTATTTTTTTGATTCTTAGAAATGATTTTCTGTGTCTTTTTGACATGACTGCAGTATTTTTTGGTAGCTTTCTTGCTTTCAGGTATATTTCAGGCTCTTATGTATTTTCAGACCCAGACATTTTTAGAAGGAAACTGATTTCTTATAATGGGAAGTGCCTCCATCCACCATTGAAACTGATTGTGTCTTAGGGGAGATTCTCAACTAGAACAGGCTGAGCACTCACAGAACACAGATGACATATAGATTACTGTCAGCCAGCATGTGAAATTTTATTACTTAGAGCAAAGCTTGCCAATTTATTACAGGATCTGTCATGGTGAGGTATACAATATAATCTTTACTCATATCCTAATCATTATTAACCTCAAGCATATGAATAAGTGACTGTCTATAGAACTACACTGTAAGCATCCTTTATATATGAATAGAGCACTGGACAAATTCAGATTTTCAGAGACCTGAAATCTAAACAATTTGTGGAGTACACTCTTAGAAAATTAACATAAAATCACAAACACAAAATTAGGCAAGAAAGTCAATATTTATTTAGGTTAAGGGAAAGAAATCATAGCACATTATCTAAATATAAAAAAGCTGGAAAATAGAGAAATCATAAAATATGAAAAATAATATTTTTATAAATGTATTGCCTGTTATACTTCTGTATTGTTCCTGTATTTTTTGGGTTGCCTACTCTTTGATCCCCTTTTCATATAATAATTTTGTGATATCACTCTATACAGATATCAGAAAGATAAGTCAGTCTTTCCTCTGGCGTGATCAGCCAGACTTAAATTTTTGATAGTTGGAACACATAAGAGCTGGTGATCTATACAAACATATTCTTATTTGTAGAACTCCTATGGTTTGTGCTTTACTCAGAAATTTTATCCTATAATTTTTAAACAATCATATAAAATTTTATAAAATTTATAAATTCTATTTTAAGCAACTCCCCACAGAGAAAAAATGTATGACATATTAATAATTGTATATGCCAGTATATTATCTACTATATTTTTGACAGGTCAGAACCTACATTTTGACTAGAGATCAATTAGAACAACCATCCAGCTACAAGTTTACATGTTTGGTGATTGAAAATTTTCCACAGAATAGCTTCTGGTTCTGTACATTGCAATCATCATTTCGCCTTTACTACTTGTAGGTCCTGGTGCTGTAGGGCACACTCATAACACAACATAGCCACTAGCCATGCTGGGAGAGTCAGCTGAGTGTGTGGTAGAATCTAGAAGCCAGACATTCCTTCCCCGGCATGGCTGATAATAGCTTAATTATACACAGAAGTGACTGCAGACCTTATGCACATCCCACTAAACTCTGAGTAAATGTATCTCCAACCCTTAGTCTCCTCTTCCCAAAGCTATCCCCAATATCACCCAACACAAGGAAAAGTGAAATGAACAAAAAGCTGGAATGGAATAAAACAGTTGTCTTATCCAATTGTGATTAAAATACCTCACTTTAGCAAATATTACAAAATCATATAACCATGTGAACATACTTCTCAGGCCCTCTTAGGGCCTTGGAAGAACCTGTACAAGTGAGGGGACCGAAGTTTAAGCTTCACTGGCTTCACAGCAATCGTCTGTCTTGAGAGAATCATCACCTCACTGTTCCGTCTTTTCCAATGGTTAATCAAAGCATTTTGACTTTCCTATCTAAAACTTTTTTACAATTCCTTTAGCATTATCCTTTGACTCTTGGACTCCATCCTCAGGGAGTCCACTACACATACACAGAAGCCAAACATACAGTAATTTTACACTGTCTTGTGGAATAGAAGAATAATCGTGTCAATATAATTTTTCTCTTATTCCATTGGTGGAATGAATAGTTAATATGAATCTATAGCTTATAAAAAGCTGTTTGTGAATTAAAAGGACATCTATATAAATATATCTAGCCACTCTTGGCTGAAACCCAAGAGCACTACAAGTAAAAACATAAAGAAGTCATGGCAAGTAATTTCTAGCTATTATTTTGGTTAGTACTGTAGCATACTCACTAGCAAGAGTAGAAATAATGTCCTCGCTTTAGTTATACTATGCTATGCCTGTCAACACTGGGAGTCGCCAGCAAGTATTTCAGGAAAATTTCCAGAGCTATTATTAGATATAATACAGACTTTCCTACCTAGTTTTCAGCCATGAGATCTCAGGCAGATGCCTCAGTGATTATAGAGGCAGTAATGCTCGGCATCCTGACAGAGACAGCCTGTCCCAGGACCAGCAACAGCAACTGACTGGAATTTTACAGGGGAAATTTTTATTTTTATTTTTCAGATACTTCAACACAAGGACAAGGTCATTCTCAGTGCCAAAACTCCTAGTTAAGCTTTAACTTTTCCTTATACATCAAAAGTACTGAGACAGAGAAAGAAAAACAACTCCCCAACCCACAGAAAGCCCACTTACCAAGACAAAAAAAAAAAAGGTCTTGAAATTTAGTATTAGGAACTCTGGATATCTAAAATACAGTTTCAAATTGAACACTGTCACCACTGAAATCATAGCTAACATTTATTTGGGACTTACTATTCATCAGGCATTGCACCAAGTGCCTTGTAGTATTTCAAGTCTGCCATATCCTGATTTTACAGATGAAGAGGACAAGGCAGTAAAAGGATAACAAACTCAACCTGGTTGCAACTAGCAAATGTCGGGAGGGTGGGGACCAGACTTTGCCTTTTGGCAATCTAATTCCAGAGACAGATTGTTAATCATCCCTCCATTTTGCCTTGTGATATTAGTATGTTTGAAAAAAGTCTTGATCTTAAAGTTGGAGAGGTAATAAAAATTAAAATCTTTGTTAGTACAAGAAAGAAAAATATTTATGCTTTCTCAAGTTTCTAAATAGATCACACATATGAAGACAACACTGAATTTTGACTGGATTTTCATATAGCTGGCAATGTGAAATTTAGATTTCCTATCACTTAAAACCAGCATTTATTTGCATATTCCAAACATAGTAAATCAACAACATTGGAAAAATTCTTCAATAGACTATATTAAAAAACAAATATGAGAAAAAGTTGTTGATTAAGCAGGACAAATACATCAGAGAGGTCTTCTGTACAACATTGTACCTGTAGTTAACAATACCATATTGTGCACTTAACAATGTGGTGAGTGTAGATCTCACATTAACTGTTTTTATCACAACAAAATCAAATTAAAACAACAATGACAACAAAACCCCTAAGCCTATATCAACCTGTTAGAAGAAAAATGAAGAATTAATTTACATGTTGGTCTTTAAAAATATTCTGACTTTACATAGAGAGACAAATAATTCTGAGGACAAAAAAAAATAATTTAAGAATTTTTGAATCTGACTCAGTAAGTTTGTTGTTGGTAGCAGTCCTGGTGTAGAAAATCTGAAACTATTTTGTGTGTGTTGTAGGACTGAGAAAATAAGTAAGTATGTTCATTCTTACTTGGGAGAATGAAAATGCAAATATGAAATGTGAATACAGCAGTGCTGAAATGAAACTGATGGTAGGAGTATAGCAACATTATACCATATAGCTATAATACTACTGTGTATATGTGAACTCCTTCTATATCCACTGAAAGGACCTAGAAGCAATGCCACTCCAGAAGCAATAAGCAAACCTACTATCTAGATCTGTGTTTCTGAATTCCATTCCCACCCTATGAAAAGGGACCAGGGATAGGCCCAAGTTAGGCCTGAAGTATCTCTATGTACATCTGAATGTACCATGGAGGATGTGCTCAAACTGATGAGGACAAGTCAAAAAGAAATAAGCCAACTCAGAAGGCTCTTGATGATGATCACTTTGGTACAATTTGAGTATCAAAGTGAAAAATTACAGAAATAGATTATAATACTATTGAATTGAGAAATGGTCAGGGTCAGTGGCTCATGTCTATAATTCAAGCACTTTGGGAGACTGATGCAGCCTGATTGTTTGAGCTCAGGAATTTGAGACCAGCCTGGGCAACATGTCAAAATCTCATCTCTTCAAAAGATACAAAACATTATTAGAGCAAAGAGGCATGTGCTTGTAGTCCCAGCTACCTAGGAGGCTGTGGTTGGAGGATCAACTGAGTCCAGAAGGTTAAGGCTGCAGTGAGCCAAGAGAGTGCCACTGCATTCCAGGCTGGGGACAGAGTGAGATCCTGTCTCACTCTCACTCACACACACACACACACACAACGAGAGAGAGACAGAGAGAGAGAGAGAGAGAGAAATAAAAGAAAAATGAGATAATCAATCAAAAAATGGTCAAAGGGTATGAAGGTTTAGTTTAGTTAGACAGGATGGAGTCCCAGAGATCTATTGTATAGCATGGTGACTTTAGTTAATAATAATGTATTATATACTTGAAAATTGCTAAAGGAGTAGATTGTAAATCTTTTCACCACAAAAAATAAGTATGTGAGTTGATGAATGCGTTAGTTTGATTTATCACTTCACAGTATATACAGACATCAAAATATAACATTGTACACTATAAATACATAAAGTCATTTGTCAATTATACCTTAATAAATCTGAGAAAAAAATTATCATGTTAAAAAGTACAGTAAAAAAGAAAAAGTGTATCTACAAGTACACAATGATTCTAAAAATTTTAAGGGTAGAGGAAGGAGGGAAGCCAAGCAAACAAACTAATAAATATAAAAGTCATGATAGAAATAGATAACTAGAATTTCACTATCACGTAGTAATAGCCAATTCAGGCAATGGTTATCAATGGATGCTAAAACCACTAAGGAAAAATCTGGGAAACAGAATATTCACACAATCTCAAAGTATCACTGTGTAGATTACATTTGAATTTTTAAAGTTTCTTTACAATGAAGAAATCATGCAGACACTGTCTTTATCTTATCATCGCCAGCAATGAAATATATTGACATCTTACGTACTCTGAGAATGACACTGGGAAGGACACAGCATTACCTGTGCAGATAGCCTGCCAAAAATGCTCAATCTTAATCTAATCATGAGGAAGGAATCAGATCCAAAAGGAAGGACATTTTGCAAAACAACCTGGATTTTTGAAAATGTAAATGTTATATAGAACAACAACAAGAAAAGTTGAAGAGTTGTTTAATTTAAAGGAGATCACAAAGGTCTGACCATTAAATGTAGTGCGTAATCCCGGATTGGATCCTCGGTTGGAAAAAAATTACCTAAATGATATTATTGTAGCAATTGAGGAAATATGACAAGAGTGTGTGCTATATAATAGTACTCTACCACTACCACTTTATCATTATTCCCAGGTATTTTACAGAGAATGTTCTTGTTCTCAGGATGTGCATGCTGAAGAATTTAGGAGTGAAGTGTCTTGTTATCTGTAATGATTATCAAATGATTCAGCATGAGTATATATGCATAAAAATGATATGTAAATGTATGAACAAAAGTATATGAAACATAAATCAACATTCTATAGAGTTCAAGAGAGTAAAAGAATAAATGCAAGTGTGGAAAAATTAATATTTAATAGAGTTGGATGAAGGAGTATATGGATGTTTTTTGTACTATTCTTGCAGTAGGATATGGTTTGAAATTGGTCAAAATAAAAAAGAAATTATAATGGGAGTCATTTAAATTCAATTTGAAAAGGATGATCAGCAAATTGCTAAGTGGAAAGAACAAATGACTGGGGAATGATGGCAGAATAAAGACAACCACCACTTTGAAGCAGCTTATGGGGAGCAGTGGAATAAATAGGAGGTCCCATTTGGTGTTACACTTGGTTAACTGAGTAAAAAACAAAACTAGAAAGAAAAATCTTAAGTAATATATTTTAATGTTAGCCTGAACAACTTTTAGTTTCTTATTTGTGAACACAATGGTATGATAAACACCACCTATGTCAAACACATGGATCATTTGGTCCAAAATTCTTTTCTTTGATTTCCAGTTTCAAAGTTATGAATGTAGTTTCTCTCTGAAAAAGGTTTTTTTCCCTTAACTTTTATTATGGATCTATTAAGCACAAATTTTCCTAAATCCTCTCAGAATCTTTTTTTAGATGTCTGTATCTACATGATTTCCATAATGTGACCACTGAATAAAAAAGATTATTTTTATTTGTTATATTTTATTTTCTGACTTAGAATTCCATTTTCCTTTGTGCTGCTTTTCAGACATTTGATGAACAGGTGTGTTTGGTCCTAGCCATATGCTGCAAAGTTCTATAGTCTTCAATCATACTCCTTTGTTTTCTCAGCCTAAAGCAACCACATCCTAATCTTTTTAATCAGTCCAGTTATTGCCACTTCAATGTCACCCACTCACTTTGAATTGCCCTTCTCATACCTTCCCCATGGAGCTACATTTTTCTGCAGGCAAAACAACTGAAATATATACTTTTTTTAAAAAAAAAAAACTATATTTTTCTTTATATATATTTTAAAATACATATATGTATTTAAAATAAATATATTTTTCTGCAGGCAAAACAACTTATTCCTCCAAGTCTCTATACAGGCTAAGGTGGATTTATAGTTTCATTTCCCAGACTTTGATAATTTGACAGCTTTCTTTTTTGTAATGAAATATAACTTTTGTTTGTAGCCATACTTCAGTTTGTTAGTTCAAGGGACAAATTGTATGACTTTTCTTGTAGCAGAAATGGACTTTTGGAAATTACCATTTTATATATATAAAATATAATTTAGATTATCTGCCCCCATTATTCCTTAGCATGTGTGGGAACAACGTGTGGCTCCCTTAGCGGCAGCGTCTGTCTCAAAGTTTGATTCAATTCTAACCTGCAAGTTATTAAGTACAGCATCTTGCAGGGGCTCTGAGAAACCATATGAAACGAAAGACTGATTTAGAATGAAATTGCGTTTTCAGACATATTGAAAAGTGGCTTGAAAGAAAAAAATGTCAACAACAAAGATAACTATACTTATAAAGCCACACATCCTTAGTACCACAAAATCCTAATATTAGAATATCACGGAATCATTTCGCCTTGTCTTCTACCTTCAGATATTTAAAATAATAAGTGTCTTAACAGAATAACTGTGATTCTGTTTTGAAGATCTCTAGGTCATAAAACACTTCAGCCTTCCTTCTAATGGCCAATAATGATCTTCCTTTAGTTTCATTTACATCCTCAAACATGGAGAACAAGTGATCTTCAACTAACTCAAATATCTGACAACATGAATCAAGCCACTCCTTCATCTGTGTCCCCTCCTGTCTCAACAACTCCATTTCTTTTTTTCTCATAGAAACTATTTTCTATATTGATCTTAGTTATTCTTGTTTGAACCAACATGAAGCATAATCTAGCAATTTTGCAGTGTAGTCTGTAGACCCTTCAGCGTTCTGAGACACCCTCAGAAGGTCTGCAAAGTGAAACTATTTTCACAATAAAACTTTTTATTTGTCTTTTTCACTGTGTTGCCATTTGTGCTGATGGTACAAAACCAATAGTGTGTAAAACTGATGGTGCCTTAGGAAGAGTAAAGGCAGAGCTGCCAAGCTACTAGTTCTAATCTTCACCACCCTATACTTAGAATTTTAAACAGAAAAAGAAATTTATCTTAAGAATGTCCCTGGATAAAGTAGTAAAAATGATTAATTTCATTAAATCTCAACATGCAGTAAACATTTTTTGAATATTCTGTGTGGAAAAATTGTAAGTGTACACAAAGTATCTCTGCTGTGAATGAAAATATCGTGACTGTCCCAATGAAAAGCTCCTGAATGACTGTTTCAGTAGTGAGCTGACCCAGCTCCTTTTCTCATGGAACAGTTTTCACTCAAAACAGCGATTTACAGACAAACTATGGATATTAAGATTTGGGTATTTGACAGACATTTTCTCAAAAATAAATGAAGTGAATTGATCACTTCAAGGGAAACATTCTTTTGTTTCGGTCAATTACATTCAGACTTTTTTTTTTTTTTTTTTTTTTTAGAGTTGAAGTTTCGTTCTTCTTACTCAAGCTGGAGTGCAGTGGTGCAATCTCAGCTCACTGGAACCTCAGCCTCCCAGGTTCAAGCAATTCTCCTGCCTCAGCCTCCTGAGTAGCTGGGATTACAGGTGGGTACCACCATGACCAGCTAATTTTTTGTATTTTTAGTAGAAACAGGGTTTCACCATGTTAGCCAAGTTGGTCTTGATCTCCTGATCTCAGGTGATCCACCCACCTCGGCTTCCCAAAGGGCTGGGATTACAGGAGTGAGCCACCATGCCCAGCCAACATTCAGACTTTCCAGCAACAAGATTTTGAATAACTAGTATTCACCACAGTGAGCCTGGCAACCTCTCAATATTTACATACTTTTCTGATGATATTGATGATGATATCAATGAATGTGATTTTTTTCACTATTACATAAGGAAATGTATCAACATTTAGATGATCTGTGTGTTTCAGAAAACTAGTATTCTTCAGATGATCAATGCAAGAAATTACAGAATCAAACATAGTTAAAAGATCCATTCAAAATGCTGATAGACCAATGCATTTAACATAACAAAATATGAAAATTCAATGATACAGTTTCAGATTCCAGGTTGTTACTGAGATTTAAGAAAGGACTACTCATCTAGTTCTACTGTAGTATCAAATGGAATGAAATACTGCTCAACAATAAAAAAGGAATGAACTTTTTATACATGCGAAAACAAGGATGAATCTCAAAGACTATGCTGAGTGAAAGAGGCCAGTTTCAAAAGGTAGCATATGGTATGAATCCATTTATGTTACATTCTGGGGAAGGTACAACTATGGTGGTGGGGAACAGCACAGTGGTTGCCAAGGGTTAGGGATGGAGAAACAGTGTAAGTACAACGGTATAGCACAAAATAAGTTTTTAGAGTGATGGAACTGTTTGAACTGTGATTGCAGTGGTAGTTTCATGGATCTATATGTATGTGCTAAAACTCCCAGGTCAAAAAAGTCAATTTTATTGTTAATTAAAAAATGAAAAGAAATAATATAGCACAATGTTAGCTCACAGATGATACTCCAATAAATGTTATGTTTATAAATGTTAAAAACATTCAAAATCCTGAGCAACACTCTAAATGTGCTTACTTAATTTGATTATCTGAGAAGATTCTATACTTATAAGCAAACACCCCCCACCCACAACTATTTTTCCTGATGATACTCAAGTTTAATCATATTTGAGAACTGCTAGTCTGGTGAAAAGAATATGGAAGCTGAAATCCTGGAGTTTGCTTCCAGTTTGGCTTCTAACTGCCATATAGGAAAGCAGACATAATCTATTCTACCCTCACTGTCCTAGATATTTTCAAGCTCTCTTTGTTAGTGCTGCTGGCATTCCATGAAGCTAATGTTAGCAGTTCACTTGCTTTCCTTGAATGATTGCTATCTTCAGCCCCTGTGCCAAAATTTATACCCAATTATCTCATTTAAACCTCAGAACAGCCCTACCAGTTAGGCTCCCGAATTTGATGGTCATATGGCTAGACTGCAGTCAGACCACAAAATGCACGCACACAGCCACTGTGCAAAACATGCTTCACATTGAAGTTATCAACTTGTTGATATTTACCAAAAATAGATGTAACAGAAAAGCTGCCTTTTGTCATATATTCTGTAAGTCACCAATCTCTTAAAACTCAGTTTAAGAGATAAATATTTCAAAGTTTTTGGTGAAAGACTTACTCTCATTGTGAAAGTTCAAATCAAGTTGCCAACTATTCCAAAGATAATTTTGGAAACTTTTTATTCCTATAATTTCCTGAATTATAGGTGGTAGGACTCAGGCATTAGACTCAAACAAAGCATGAAGAAAGTCTCAGCCCATCACCTGATCAATTAAACATCCTCATTACTCACAGACTCCATCACTCACTGTGTCTCCTTTTTCTTATTTTCCTAAAATATGTCCCTTTGAGGAGGGAAACAGCACACAGTGGGACCTGCTGGGGAGGGAGCGGGGAGTGGAGACCTGGGGGAGAGATAGCATTAGGGGAAATTCCTAATGTGGATGATGGGTTGATGGGTGCAGCAAACCACCATGGCACATGTATACCTAAGAATCAAACCTGCACATTCTGCACATGTACTCCAGAACTTAAAGTATAATAATAAAAAAAAGTATCCCTTTGAGCATCTCTCTGACCACAGTGTGTTTGAAATGATGATTTCACTTTGTAAAACTTCCTGTCTTACAGTCCCATTTTTATATAGTTTGTTATGTATCATATAAATCACATAATTTATTTAAAGTTTGTTATAAACTGTTTTAAAAATATAACATATATACATACTATAATTTCCCATTACTATTTATTGGCAGGAGGATGACTTCATACTGAGGCAGTGTCACCCTTCTCTAGAATTCTTGTCAGAGAAGGAGTTGTCAGAATTTTAATGGCAAAGAAGTTTGTGAAAAACATTAAAATACCACAGGTATTATGCTTCAAATTACCACTTTATTAGACTTACAGCAAATGTAAGGACTTCAAATGCCTAACTTCAATGTGGCTCAGCATGGCAGCTGGAATAAATTCTGTCACTTCCAAAAGTCATGTATTGTGACACCCAACCTTAGAAAGCAGAACTTTGTAATTTCTGACAATGTGGTTGAGAAATGCTAAACTTTCCAGGGCTGGCTTTTAACCCATTTTTATTCCTAATACTGGGGACTGCTGATATAATCAAGCCATTGCTATCGAATAATTCTCTGTCACTCTGGAGAAAAAACCACACATCACATACTATCTTATATGTATTTTGATGTGCTTAGTAATAAAAATAACTAATATTGACTGAGGTCTACCTAATAGGCCATATGTTACAGGTTTCATATGCACTATTATATAATGTAACAAGGAAGAGTTCTGAGGTGGCTCTTGGGAACCAATTACTCTCAAGACTCAAGCTTTATGGTTCTCCCAATACAGTTCATGAAGACTCATAAAGTGATAAAAGCTGGGAGACTGCTTATGCCATCTGAAGTGCCTTCCAAGTCCTCACCTCGGGTCCTAGCTCATGTACCCCTTCCTCTACGGAGCTTTCTTTTCTCATGAGCCCAGCCTGATGTGTGCTCTCCCGTCCTAAAGTCCTGTAGGGCAGGGCTCACTGATGGATGTCAGTTGAGACCTCTAGAATCCAGGCCTGTGACCCCTTTCCTGATGGGGATGATGAAGGGCCGGCCTTGTGAAACTGTACTTTTATTCATGCCCATATGCACGTTTCCCTCTGTGGCGGTCACAGGTTTTCATCTGATGATGAGTGGCTCACAACCCTGCGGAAGGTTAAAAACCACATAGGGTCTAATCTGTCTCCTTTCTGTCGCCATTCCCACCTCAAGCCAGCTTCTTCCCCCAAATGCCGTAATTATCTCTGCCTGGCTCACCTGCCTTTGTCTACCCATCCTGTATTTTATCCTCCACAATGCTGCCCGAGTGATCTTTTAAAAACCTAAATCTGACATTGTACTTAACTGTATCCTGTTACCTACTTAACAGTATGTTTAGCACAGGAGGTGCTCAGTAATATCCACTGAATAAATGAATGAATAAATGAGCTCCTGCTGACAACCTGAGCCCTCAGCCCAGGACACAAAACAAATCTTCCTGACTTGCTGCCTGTAAAACCTTCAGGTTCTCTGAGCCTGTGGGCTTGGCACCATATTTGGTGTAATGAAAGAAAGATAATTTAACATGCCAAAATGAAATCACATCCTCCAATTTGCAAAGTGAGTACCTTTATAAAAATGTGCTCCTAGGTTGTTTTTTTTTTCAGATGGAGTCTTGTTCTGTTGCCAGGCTAGAGTGCAGTGGCACAATCTCAGCTCACTGCAACATCCGCCTCTGAGGTTCAAGCGATTCCCCTGCCTCAGCCTCCTGAGTAGCTAGGATTACAGGCACACGCCACCACACCCAACTAATTTTTTGTATTTTAGTAGAGAAGAGGTTTCACCATGTTGACTAGGATGGTCTCGATCTTTTGACTTCATGATCCACCCATCTCAGCCTCCCAAAGTGCTGGATTACAGGGAGGAGCTACCTTGCCCAGACAAAAATGTGCTCCTAGTTTAAATGTCATGGATAAACAGATTACAATCAGGTCAGTAGGTATGTGATTTTTGAGTTTGTTTAAAATGGCAACCGTATCCTCCTTTAGGGAAAATTTTCCAAGATCTACTGCATGAATAAATTTATGAACTATTTAATATATAATCAGACACTTAGATAAAGCTATAACCCATGAGCAGCAAACTTTTAGGAATTAATATTTCATACAGACATTACTTTGGTTATCAGTGTCAGATGTCACAGCTTTGACTTTTAGACAGAAACAGACTGCCTGCCCTCCAGGTCAGGCTGACACAAACTCGCCCAGCAGCACAAACCTCCCACACCATGTCTTATCTATATGTGAATACAACACTCAACAGCTGCAAACTTCTACTGCAGTCTGGAGCATCCCCCAGAGACAATTGCCTATGTTCTGTAGTTAGCATGAAAGAATCTAACAAACCTTAATGTGGCTAAAGTTGTCCCTATACGATCCTGGAACTCTCAAATTCCCTGAGCCCTGAAGCTCATTTAATCTTTTTTGGATACATAATATTTGTACATATTTATGTGGTAGATCAGTATTTTGTTACATGCATAGAATGAAATCAAGCTATGGTATGGATGTCCTGAAGTGTCCAGCCTATAGATACTTAGAGCTGTCTAGAGCTCTCCTACCCAACCCCGGCCACAGGCCTGTATACCATACTGCTGAGTCTTGATCCTGAGTCTGACCAGGAGATCACTGAGCTCTAAATAAGTAAGAAGTGATAAAAGAGGAACACAATCTCCTGCTTTAGTGACTATGGTACTAGAATGAGGTTTCCTTCAATAGCAGCTATACCAGAAACAATAAAAAGAACAGGTATGTGGCTAGGAGTTCCCAGGGATAAGGAAAATGAGGAGAAGACATTCGGGCACACAGAATGTTCCTATAGGGTTACTAAGTTAATGACCATCTACATTAAAAAGGAAAAACATGCACTAACAGCATCGCTAATGACTGATTACTCTCACTGAGGGGAAAGAAAGAGACTCAGAAAAGAGGGATGAGATGGTCTAAGCCACTTTAGTCATCAAAACATTTATCATTATTTTTTAATCCTATTTTTTAATCCTCCTTTATCATTATTCAAATTAAAATACTGGCAGACAATGATCTTATAAGAATTCACTCTCTCCTTAATTTTCTTGAGTAACTCCCTTCTAAAGTTATTAGATGGAACAGAGCAAGGTATAGTCTGTATCATTGGGGACTCAGAATGGGGGATCAAAACTGAGAGAGAAAGGTAACTGTGGCAGGAGTGCCCAGCATGAGAAGTCAGGGCCTCCAGAGGACAATAAAGGTGTCCACACACGGGGGCAACCTGAGTAGGGTGAGGAGGATGTCCATGCTAGGGGGTGGGACTCGGTTGGCCATGTGGTATTAGTGCATGGGTGGAATAGGGAGGGCTTCCACATGGGGGTGGGGAGTAAGGTATTGGCAGCCCCATGTGATGTGTCAGAGCCCAGGTGGGAGGAGGAGGCATCTAAAGAGGAAAGGTGGCAGTGGCAATGAGAGACAGTTACATAGGGGTGTTGATCGATTCCGTAAATATATTAGGATAATAAGAACCAGCTTCTCACTCTTGGAGAAGTAAGTTATAAATAGGGAAAGGGAGAAAAATAGTACATTCTGTGGTGCCAGATTGGAGGTATCAGTATAAAGTCATGGTTTTCAACACACACTGACAGATATAAATGGAGGTAGATGTGCACGTTTGTGTATGTGCATGCACATATCTACATTTGCTCCCAGCACTTGCCACTGAGAAGGTTTGAGAGCAGCAACACCCCCCCCCCAAAAGCACCCAAATCTTGGTTTCCAAATACCACTCTCCATTACAAACAACCGGGATGTCTTAGAGATAAGGCTGACATCAAGGCTGGGATAAGGAAAGTACAAAATGAGCCTGAAATGTATTACTGTGGCAGATAGCAAGGAAGTGCTCAAGAAATGACAAGTCTCCTGAGTCAAAAGGACACTGGAGGCAGCTGGAAGGAACTCCCTCTGGACCAATCTGGGACAATTTGCACATCAAAATAATTGATGATAGTAAAGGGTTATAACGCATTGAATAAAACAGGAAACCATCATCCATATGGATAGAAATAAATGAATAAATGGAAAGTTTGACAAAGAATGAGATATTTATAAGCATTCAAAGGTTTCAAATACTTCTGCACAAAATGCTATTAATTATAAAGAATGAAAAGAGTAACTCCATGGTAGAAAATCCTGGAAAATATCACCTTTAACAAGAGATCAAAGTAAACATTATCAATAATGACAGAAATTAAAATTACCTGAGCTCTGATATGATACAGTAAAAGGAATATAGCATCATTTTCATGATATTCCCACCAAAGATACATAACCTGGAGTCAATCAAGAGGAAGCATCAGGAAACATGAACTATTCAAAAGTGTCAAGATCATGAAAATGACACACATACACACACGCTGAGTAATTTTCCAGACTAAAGAAGACAAAACAGACATGACAGTGAAATGTAATCAGTGATTTTGAAATGGATTCTATAAGTATAAAACATATTATTAGGACAAATGCCAGAACCTGAACAGGGTCTGAGGATTAGGTATAGGATGTATCTATGTTGATTTCTCTATTTTGATGATTGTATTGTAGTTGTATAGGAGATTGTCTCACTTATAAAAAATCCATACCACAATGCTCCAGGGTGATAGGGTAAATTACTCAGAAAAGAAAAAGTTCTTGGTTCCATATTGCAGATTTTCTGTAATTTTGAGATTGTTTCAACATATTTTAATTATCTTATGTGGTAAATACATCATCCCTGAAAAAGACTACAAGATGATACACCAGATATAGTACTAAGTAAAAATATAAAGGTGTAGAATATTTCATATAATACAAATACGTGCATGTATACATATTTGCATGTCTGTGTGTTTTCAGTTTTGATTTATTTTCTTTTACTCTGAAACAAAGCACAAAATCCATTAGCAAAGTATGTGTGGGGAAATTAAGATTGGAGGTTTGTGGAAAAGAAAAGAAACTTTTGCTTTTTGTTACATTTCTGTCTAGATTCTTAAGTTTTACCATGCTACATTTTGCTTTAATTTGAAAAAAAATGCAGTGTTAAGCTTAATAAAATAAAATCAGTACAAAATACATTGTAAGAACATAATTCTAATCATAGGACCTGTTTATGTTTCCCAGTATTAACACCCTTCCTCTTACTGCTAAGAGAAAAGAAATGTCATGACTGGAGACCCCGTGCTCAGCACAGAGCCTGGCACCTGGTGGGCACTACTTACATATGGTTAAATAAATGCATGAGCCAGTACCTCATATACAGAGCCAGTTCACAAATAGGTGATTTCAACAGTTTTGAAGCACCTACCTGTGTTTACTGCCATATATGTAGCATATTTACTATACTCAAAACAGTTCTTCTCTAGCAGATTCTAGAACACTAAACAAGCAGAATGAGAGATTTCACCTGGAAAGATTGGGTGCATGTATCTATTTTGAGAAAGGATACACGTATTTGAAGTATGAGAAAAGGACATAAATTCGAATTCACATTTAGTTCCATTATATCAAAGCTTCATGTTTAGGACACTGGTCCATGGAGAATGTTTCCTTGATAAATAAGTTTTATTCAGAGGAAATCACAAAAATAGGTACATATGAGAGAAACTGACATACATTATTTAGGATAAGGGATACTTGGAGACAAATGAAAGCCCAAGTAAAAGATACTATGAAATGCTGAAAGGATAACATGATATCCTTTATGCTTGAGCTTGGTGCAAAGGCTGTAGGGTTTTATTATTGAAAGAGGAATCCTGTAACAAGCTGTCATGTGGAGAGTGGCACTGTGCCTTTGGCAGTCATTTGGTTATATCAGTAACTCACATTTATTCCATACAGGATAGATATTTCATTGCCTTTATCAGAAGTAGAAGAAAAGCAAATCAATAAGGTAGGGCAGTGAGAAACCAAGACACAAAAGTCTTTTGTGTTTATATGACATTATGAATTTTCTTTGATTCAATGTGTCACAGCACAAGACTTAGCTGACGGATAAGTAATCCTATCCCTGCCTTACGAGTTAAGAGGCATTAAATCCACTAGACAATTGATACAGTTATACCCTATTACAATGTAAGAATTTATTAAGACAAAATATCATAATAGTTATCATCAGCATCAAAATGGCAAACATTTGGAAACAATGCCTTTTGATTCCACTGTGCCACTGGTATTACTCAAAGAAGAAAGGGCATGCATTACTTTAACTGCATAATATAAAAGATACACATAGATCTGTTTAAATAATTCTGACTTTAATGTCTTCAGAGTACATGTTTTCTCCTGATTTTTTTTTCCCATGTACAAAAATCTGTCAAAAGGGTAAAATTATACAAGTTGTCTTCAAATTAGGTAACTGACACAGGATACACTTATTTTTCGATACTGTATATGCCATTTTTCGAAACAAAGTGTTCAGTATGTCTTCAGGTGAGGGATCAATAAATGTAAAGCAGTGCACTCATTCAATGGTTCATCTGAAAAAAAAGTTGATAACAAACACTGAGAATGTCCAAAAAGCCCAGAAACAGGAAAATAAGATATTTCACTTTTTTAGATTAATAATTTGACAAATGGCTTTACATTTAAAGGTCCTTCACTGGAAAAGATGCCTGGAGACAAGACACACCAAGCATAATATTTTAAAATATAACCAACATAGTATATAAAAATAAGTTTACACTGTTTCCAGTTCCTTGAATACACTGTGTATTCTACAGTATATACTCAACCTCTTTCACTACAAATAAAAAAATAAAAACAAAACCCCAAATTCCAGCAAGATACTCTCCAAGACTAAGTTTTATGAGAACCTCCAAATACGGATCTGTGCGTGAATAAAGGAGAATCTGAATGTTACCATGCAGAGGCCCCCTTGGTGTTTGAGTGCTAAACCATCTGTGTGATGAGCTGCTGTTAACAAGGTCAGAGCTAAGGTATTAATCCAGTCCCTATGGATGTCATGGTGAACCTGAAGAAGACTGTACTGCTAATGGAAAATGGCTAAGATTCATTTTCTTTATCGTTATCAGGGACACCTTTTCTCTAGAAAATAATGGAAAGGAGAATCAGAAAGTGATGAAAAATGGGAGTGTTTCTATCATTTAGAGAAGATAGAAAGAACCAAACTGTAGGCCAAAACTATACTTCCAGAGAAAATTTTTTGTCTCAGATTAAAAAACAGAACTGAGCTCCATTTTTAATACATCAGAGGATCAGAAAACTCTTGTCTAAGGACAAAGCATTTTAAGATGTAGATTTAAAAACATGACAAGATCTATGTCCTATGTAGCTATAAAGAGTCCATAGTTACAACCATTAAAATACACAAATAATGCTAACTATTATGAGGAAAACATTTCATGATGTGGTTTCATTTTTCACAGTTTCAATGAGTATCGTTCTAAAGTATAGGCTGTAGGGACTAGTAAAAAGTACATGTCAAATGATCTCTAAAAACAGTTTCTCCTGAGCTCCCTAATTCAGTCATATAGTTTATCCCAGTGTTAACACTGCCTGAATTGTTCTGTGTGTATTTCAAGGGTTTGAACAGTTTGTGCCAATGGATTCTGGGAAACCCTGCTTTTTACAAGTGAGTACTTATGGGATTCCCATTAAATAAAAGCACACATTACTAGCAGTGAGTCTTTAAACTGCTCATCCAAGCAGCCAGGAAATTGGGTGTTATGGTTATTATCACAACTCTCATAGTCAACTTCATCCAAAACAATGGAATCATTTGCTAGTCCCTTGCTCTTGACACCTTGCCATTGTAGTTATTTGCATATCTGTTTTCAGCTAGATGAGCAGAACCCCAAACCCTAAGATAACTTACTGATTTCTCAATCTCTACATATACTAATCACAATAGATGCTCAGAAATAAATTTTTGAATGAATGAATGAATGATGAAAATTGAGTACTACAAACACTTTACCTATTGATTTGCTCATCTCTATTGTTTAGAATTGAGCAAAGCACTCCCCAGAAAACATAAGAAGATTGAGGATTTCTAGAAGAGTCTCTGAGTTCTTAAAGCCATAGTTTAGGCAGGGAAGAAAAAGTCACTTAGGGACAGGGGTCTTTTCTGCTTCATTCACCTCCTTGATATCCTTGGGGCCTTTCTAACATTGTAGTTAGCCCATAATATATGCCCAATAAAAATTTGTTAAGCAATTGGCTAAAGTAATGATCATCTCTTTTCTAAATGCACAGAAGAATGAAAATAGTTGAATTAGAACTAGGAGCTGGAGCTGCTATAGACACAGAACATCAGGAGATATTGAAAAAGCATGTCAACATGCAAAAGGACAAGTTGGGACCGTTTCTTTTAGGAGCCAACAGATCTCCCTCACTAGACCCTGTGCACTACAGCTGCACAGAAGAAGAGTGAAGTCAGGGGATTTCTTTTGAGTTCCGTTTGTGCCTGCATTCTGGCAATGGCCTCTCTCTAGAAGAACAGCTCTTGTTGAATAGTTTCCATCCAGTCTCCAGTTTCAGCTCTTACTAAACTTAGGCAGCTCCATTACCTCCCCTTCCCTTTCAGGAATGGGGAGACTTATGGTGGGTCAATAAGTACCTTAACATCAGCTACTCACTACCCTAAACCTGCCCACATCAAGTAGGTCCTTAATGAAATCCTAATTGAAAATCTGAGCTGTTTATGCCTTCAGTGTTCAGTCGGAACTCTGACTGATACCACATAGAAGAGAGTAGGCTCTGCTACTTTGTAAGAGACATAGAACCAATATAGCAGGAAAAAAAATCAATTATCAAGCCATCTCTATTTCCTTCTACAACACTGAAGTACCCTAAAAGGCCCAAGAGAGTTGTAAAGGAGAAAAAAAGACAACATATGAGCAGCAGTGGCAAGTGTTCTCTCGTTTAACAATACCCCAGCTAGTGAACAAACGCAGAACAGTCAGCGCCTTCTCCACACTAGCCAAGGCCACTTTAATCTTTCTAAAGGAATGAAAAATAGTTGACAATGTTTCTCCAAATTATTTTGAAATATTTCCAGAGAAAGACATAGAGATGTACAACAATGAGGAGAAATAAAAATAGTTTTAATAGAGAAGGGTCATTTTTAGTATATTTCAGAGGAGGAAACACCTTGGATTTGCTGACAGAGGTGCAAACAGAATAAACGGATGGATTTAGGATTATTTTCCTAAGTCACCAACACCATTTATTTCCCACCAATGGCACTGAACCTTAAACTAAAGGGAGTTCCCACGTGAAAAGACTGCCCTTGTTTAAAATATCTTCTTTATTTTATAGGCATACAGTGTCTCCAACATGACAGGATAATGGAAGCCAAGAAGGGAGAAGTAGAATCGCAAAAATAGAATACAACTTTAAGAAATCATTTTATAGAGGAAGTGACCTCATTTTATAGAGGAATGGTTAAAAGCAGTCTTGAGGAGCCAGGATGAAAACCTCGGTCTCCTATTTCCTATCTCCCCACCGCCTTCCAGTGCAGGAGGATAGGAGCCTGTCACACAGGCCAGGGCTCTTGTCCAGCCTACTAGATGGAAACAGAGGGAAGCAGAATAAATGTTTGGAAAGAAGATTGTATTTTAATTCAAATTTCCTAGATGAGACATCTTGATTAAGTCACTTTTCCTGTCTTAACTAAAATAAATAGGGATCAAGAATACCATATTAATTCTTTATGATACCGTAGTTCCAAGTTCAAGTATGTGAACATCATTCTAACCTCTTGGGGATGTCACTTTTAGATTTCCAGGTTTGGGGAAATGATTTCACTGGGAAGTTCTCAAAGGAGTTCGGTTTCAAATCTCTGCAAAAATATTTGCCTCTTACTATCTTGAAATCTCAGATTCTTTCACTGAAATGGCAGTAAGTAAGCTATGACAATACTACATAAATTAGAGACTACCGATAATGCACTGAAACTTCCAGGATGCCATTTAGTATGCATGTATTCTTAACCCAACTTGCAGCCTAATGGCTTTTTAAAGTCAAAACTTCCATAGTCCTTTTGGAGTATGATTTTTTAAGGCATATGAAGACAGAATCTGAGCCAATATATTTTATTCCAAATGAGGCTCTTGGATTTCTCACATGCTTTTGAAATATGATGTTTGTCTACCCTGGAAAACTCTGTCCTTTCAACTCTCTAGAAAGCTAGGAAAGGTTTTGAATAATTATATCATGGATAGTTTTGGATTCCGCTCCTTGTGGGCTACTTCTGCTGAATAAATGTGTTGCCTACCTGTAGAATTCTCGTAATACTGCTTCTCAAAATCCTGTATTTTCTGCTGTAAGTCAAAAGTAACAAAGCCACACTTTGGCATGAAGAATACTATTCTATAGTTACTTATTATTAATAATTGCTAGTACAGAAAAGTAAAAACATTGTTGAAGAGATAAATTACCAAAAAAGAAGATAAGCAGAAAAGGCAATGGAGAATGCATTATGCATACCAGAGTTGCCCATTTATTCTATTTTGCCAAAACAATGGTACAACTGAAGCACTTCTCCTTCTCCATTGGAGTTTTGTCTGTAGAGGTATTAAATATTAATCTTATAAAGAAAAGAAAGCAAAAAAAAGAAAACCTGGAAACAATGTTAAGAGGTTAGGGATTTAAGAGCAAATCACAAAAGTGGAACAAGTACTTGAAGAAAAATAGAAAGAGAGGTGGGGCAAATTGTGGACACTCCTTTTAAAGGAACAAAATTTTCCAGAGTTGCATTAATACTTAAATTGGACTAACTCCACATGAATTCTCAGGAAGAAAAACTACTTTTCAATTAATTTATCTATCCTACAATTACATACCATGAATATCTAAAGGCAAGTATGTCTACCCAGTAAGGAGACAAGGGAATAACATTCCAGGCAAAAGTGATGTCACAAACAGATGGGGATTCCGAATAACACTGAGTCATGGTTCTAGGGGAATAAAACAAGTACTTTACAGCTAAGTGCAATGTAGTATTTAAAGAAAATGTATTTTAATAGAATGGTCAGGGTAATTATTCTACATTTAACAGAAATTACACTAGTCTAGATATGTTCATTTGGATTTTATTCTGTTTTTTATTTATGTTAATAGGTTTGGTTACTGGTTTAAAAGAAATATTAGAAGTTTATCTTGCTTTTTTATGACTAGGTTAACATTTGTCTTAGAGGGAGTTCTGCCTGACCTTCATGGACAATACCTTTACCTCCTTAATCTAGATTTCTTTTTCTATAAGTTTTAAAGCCAATATTTGAGGTAAAAAGGCACAACACATAAAATTATAGCTACTCACAGGCATGTATTTATTATGCACTAGGCAATTTGCAGAAAGTTTTATGTACATTATTATAATTAATCTTTATGATATTAGAATTCCATCAGGTGGACATTTTGATTACCAAGTAAACTAAATAGAAGAAAACTGAAGCTTAAAGAGGGTAGATGATTTGCCAAGGGTCACAGAACACGTAAGAGGTACAGCTGGATTCAAGGTTAAGTATATCTTTTCCTCAAGTCCTTCTCTTTATTTCCTACTAAAACTAAAAAGAATAATGGCATAGCAGCTGATCATATTTGATGTATGAGAATATAAATACTGGTATCAAATATAAGTACTAAATCAGGCATCAGTTCCTTCATGCTGAAAACATTGAGACAATTCAGTAAAAATTCAAACTGCAATCTTACAAAGTCCTTTGATATCCTCATCTACAGCAGTGTTTCTTAGCCTTTTTACTCACTGTTGCCCTTCTAAGGGGCCTTCTTAGACATTTTTATTACATGTCTCCCATGAAATTTTAATACTACAGATAAACCATGTATCTATGTACCATATGTATATCTGTGCTCGTACATAAAAAGAGAAGTTTTTTTTGCTCCCAGGAATAATTTTTTGCCCATTGGGGGCAATGAATATGTATGATCTAGTGATTATACCTCTGTGTTTCTCCGAAAGCTTTCAAGCTACTCATTGCTTACAATTTTATGGGCTTAGAGCTTTAGATTTTTAGCTTAAATTGTTCAGTGTGCTAAAATGCAAATATATAGAAAATGTTGATGAATGACAACAAGGCATTTGTATCTTGGTGTAAAATAGAAAACCAGAAAGCCAGTTTGATAAGGGAAAGGAGGAGAATGTGAGGGCGCTCTGTACTGGGGCAGAGGAGGGGAAGAGCAGAGAGCCTCTGGTGTTGAAATGCCTGCATCACAACTGTGCTTCAGTCTAGTCCCGTTGAACATATTAACACAAGTCTTTGAAGAAAAGATGCTAGCTCCTATTCATGATGAATAAGAAAACTTAGTCATAAGCCCCCTTAGTGGCCATCACCCTATTATTGTGTAAATATTAGGTTTCCTGCTTGTAAAGATTGGCTGTTTGGTTCCTTTCAGGCCTGTTTGCGTATTCCCAACTGCTATGTGGCCAAGAATAAGTAAGTTTATGTAACGTTCCAAAGAAACTGCTCAACACCATGGCTCATTTTAACCAAGGTATGAATAGAAGGCAGAGATGAATTCACAAATACTTCTTTGTAAAATATAACTTTTTACTCCTCCTGGCCAAAATGGTCTTAACCATTGAAGTAATTATAGCTCACAACTATAATTTAGAGTTAGATCTAGTTGACTCTAAACTCACACGGGAAAATAATTCAGTCATCTTACTGGAACACTGAAGTGAATAACTGCATAAAACCAAAACAATTTCAGCAATCCTAGAAAGTACTGTGAATCAAAATAGAAACAGTCTTAATAAGACAGTTGATAAAATAATTTAGTAAGACAACAATAATTGCCTACCATTTATTGGTTAAAGTATTACACTTGACACTTTATAAATATTATCTATTTAATCCTTACAGTAATCTTTAATATTGGTACCCTCATTTATGAAGGAAATGAGTGCAGAAAGGACAAGCAGTTTTCCTGAAACCACTTGGAAGTGGAGGAGAAGGGTTTTGAACTGCCATCATCTCAAGCTCATGCTTTGCCACCTCACTACAGTGAAATGATTGAAAACTCAAATCTGCAAACTTTCAATTTTCAATCAAATGGAGAAAATCTTGGGCAAATGAAGAGGTCATGGACATGGTATGAAAATATTTTATGATTCTGCATTTGAAAAGCTACTGCACAGATGATTTCAACTGCAATATGCCCTTTAAAAATATGTATGTCTTAAAGTTAGATATTCGAAATATATATGTCTCCAGGGTCGAAATTTTCTTTGAAGGTCATAAAACATGCATGTGTAAGGACCTTGGTAAATGATAACAAAATTGTGACCATTTCACACAAGTATAGGTGCTATTTCCAGAGGCTGGGATCATTCTCTGAAATCACCAACATCATTTATTGCCCCATCAATGGCACTGAAACTCATGACCCAAAGGGAGCTCCCATGTGAATAGATTGCCCTTGTTTAAAATATTTAATGCATTTCATACAGGTATATGGTATCTCCAACATGACAGGATTATGCAAGTCAAGAAGGCAGAAGTGGAATTGCAAAAATAGAGTAAAATTTTAAGAAATCATTTTATACAGGAAGTGACCTAATGGTTAGAAGAAGTCTTGAGGAGCCAGGATGAAAACCTAGGTCTCCCATTTCCCTGACCAGCACTCTTCTTCAGTTATAGTACTGTTACCAGGTAGAATAACGGGCCTGAAATTATAGCAAAACTTGATCTGCAAATACACAATAAATTGTAGGCATTCTCTGTGCAGATTGACCTAATATTTAAGTTATTTAAATACACTCACAACAAAGTAAAAGTATCACTTAAGGTACAAATATAGCTGTCTTTACTATATCCCAAATGGGTTCTCAAACATTCCTTAAAATAGCTCCATTCTGTGTGTGTGTGTGTGTGTGTGTGTGTGTGTGTGTGTGTTTGAGATGGAGTTTTGCTCATTTTCCAGGCTGGAGTGCAATGGCATGATCTTGTCTCACTGTAACCTCCCCCTCCCTGCTTCAAGTGATTCTCCTGCTTTTGCCTCAGTAGCTGAGATTACAGGTCCATACCACCACAACCAGATAATTTTTATTTTTTTATTTTTAGTAGAGATGGGGTTTCACCATCTCTACTGTCCAGGCTGGTCTTGAACTCCTGACCTCAGGTGATCTGCCCACCTTGGCTCTCAAAATGCTGGGATTACAGGCATGAGCAACCATGGCTAGCCAAAATGGTGACATTCTTAATACCTCCAAAATAAAGACTTAAATTGTTGTCACACATGAGGTAGTGTTTGCAACTGGTAAAAGTATAATCAATGCAATGGAAGATATTTTCACCTAAATTTCCTGGAGCTTTCAAATATTTGTTTAGCCTTTTTTAACTGGAAAATTCCTCAACTTATTGTGTGTTTACCAATAGATTCTTTTAGAAAAATGTCTATTTTCCAAATAAATAATCCAAGCCCTAAAATTTCACCATATTTTACAATATTAACTTGAGAGTAAAAGAAGGATTCTATCAATGAAGCATTTTAAAAGCATTTATATACTTTCCAAATGAAATTCTTATTTAATTATGCTCTTTATTAAAATGAGAAAGCTTCCTATATAATTTTCTTTGAAAAGTTTGTCAGATTTCTATTAAGACTAAGGCATGTAAATATTATATTTAAAAATACTTTATATTGCATAAGATATAATTTTGAGTATTACTAAATATATATAGCACATTAAAACTTTATCTTTTCATTGTTCCACTACTTGAAACTAATTTTAAAACTGATAGTCTAGGGATTTCAATTTATCTTGAGTATTATAATAATCACATAGAACTGGTCCTTCTTAGAATACATATCAGAGCATTTAACATCATATAGCTGTCCAAAATATTTTTAAACAAAAAATCATGTTAACATTTAGATCATGAAGACTATTGCCTTTAACAACTGCTGATTAAACCCAAAAATCTTATGACAATTTTAGTGGAAGAAAAAAATACAGATCAAATACTGATCATGACTGCTTCTTTAACTTATATACACATTTCCAAGATTATTCTAAATTGCCAAACCTTGCCACCTAAAAATCTAGCAGGACAAATAATACTAATCACAACATGGCCTAGCACAGTTTGAAATCTGTGTTAACTCTGGAAAATTACAACAAAAGCCAAGTATAGCTAAATATATATATTTCCTATCAGTTTAAAACAAATCAACATTTTAAAATTAGGTTACTTACCAAGAAGCATTTTTCTTAGCAATAGTCAAGTCAGTCGGTCTGTAATTTCTGTATAACAAATGTGTCAGGAACTGAGAGGTACGTTAACCTGCCACCAGTTTTATTGCAGATTGAGTGTGAGCCTTCACAAACTCTTCCTTGTATCCTAAGCCTGCTGGAGTACTGGCCTGACTCCACTCACTCACTGTGTACCTCATTTGAAACTAACAAACAATAGAGTGACTGTCAGTAGATGTTGCCTCCTCAGCCTACAGAGCCAACAAAAATTGTCGAAAAGTAGGTTACTTAACTGGAGTTTGAGATATAAATTCTGAATTGATCATGCTGTTTCTTTAAAATTTCCAAGTAAAATTTTCTACTCAATTCACAAAGAAAAAATTTACATGTATGCAAGAAAGTTCATTAAATAATATTTTTAATGTAATTACTTTTTCCCCAGTGTTTTTGTCTACGAATCTGAAACACATTTCACTCTAAACTAAAAAGAAATTCTGCTACAAAAGAAATTGCACACTATGCATGTTTTATAGGAAGATTGAGTATTAAAATTATATTACTCACCAATGATCAGAAAATGCAGATACATTTATTATTTGGTATTATGAGCTTGAACCTCCAGTGAGATTTCAGTTTCATGATGGATTATTTGTTTGACTCCAATTCAAAGAAAATTATTTCTGAAATAGGTTTCTCCTGAGAGAAGAACAAGCCTTACAGTTTTTAAGCAATAAGGCGATTGCAGTGAACATACAACAAAGGAACATCTCATCTCTTGTTATTTTTCTACTGCATGTGTATTAACAATTTTTAAAAGAGAAAATATGTCTGGACCCAAAGGAAGAAGACACAGCATACAAGCCAGCACTAAAGCCAGGGAGATGAATGTGATTTCTGAGACTATGTTTTCTAAAATAAAAATAAATGACATGTCCAAGTATTACATATTTTAGCAATTTTCTATATTATACTCTACTAGATACTATCTTACTATCTTTTACTTGTTATAATGACAGAGGACAGCAGTGTAACTTCCCAGAGTCCTAATTTTTATGGATACTTGTTCATATTTCTGTATTTCGCTATTCCTTAATTTGGAGATTCAATGTTAACATAACTAGTTACTTTTATTTTGGTTAAAGCAAGGTTAAAAAGTTAAAAATAGGAAAATAAGGGAGAGAAAGTCTGAGAAAATTGCAAAAGGGAAGTGAATCTAATTTGGTGAAGGAAAAATGGGGAAGGGCTATGAAAACAGGGTAACTTAGAGCAAAGGGAACAAAGAGAGAGAAATGGCTAAGGATGACAGTTATAAAAGAGACCGAGGCCTATTTTTGCCATTATGAAATGCAGGTCTCTTGCATATCCAATAGATATATTGAATGTATGTGTATTTCCTGATTCTGAGGCCTTGAACTTGAACTCAGCCATGCCACCAGTATCCTGGGTCTCAGCTTGCAAACACCCTGTCATAGACTTTTCACCCTCCATAATTGTGTGAGCCAATTCCCTTAATTCCCCTCATATATTTATATCTGATATCTACATCTATATCTTATTGATTTTGTCTCTCTGGAGAACCCTGCCTAATACACCAGGTGATGCTGATGTTGCTTGTCCTGGGACTACACTTTGAGAACCACTGCTCTACCTTATTAGGTTACCCTAACATCTAGGATGAGGACAGTTTCCATTATAAATTGTGTTATTACCATATCATGTAGAATCTAAGACTTTTTCAAACCCATTTTCACAGCTCTGAATCAGTGTGCATCCGTAACTATTTGCATCTTATGATAACTACCCACAAGGAAGTATTCATGACAGTGGTGGTCGATATTAGTTTCTCCATGAACTTGTGTTTAGCTGTTCATATTATCTCTTCAGTTGAGTGATATCATTTTTGAGTCACATAAATAATATCACTTTTGAGTCATATCATGTGTTGAGTTTAATTGCTGTTTAAAAAATGGTTTTTAAAACTTACACTTAAAGAAGTACTATGATTCGGCATTAAAGTCACTGTAAAAACCACTGTGATTTGGCTTTATAAATAAAAATCATTAAATACTAAGCTAGCATATAAACAGGTGTGGGATATAGATTTGTTATTAGTGAAGCAGATGTTCATTATTGGAGGAATTACAGCAGTTTCAGATTGTTTTGCAAAGTAGCAATCCATTGTATGAAAAGACAGGAGAAAGGTAATCACAGTGAAGGAAGCTGGGTATATACACATTTGCCTATTACAGGCCCAGCAATGCAGCTAAATGAAGGCAGAAGAAATTGCTAATCCTAAATAGAAATATCAAAAAAGATTAGTAGCTGGTGTGAATAATTCATAGATCCAGAGGGACTTTTTAAAAAGTCTATGTTATAGTTTATGGGGAGTGGGGTGTGCGCGTGTGCGCGCGTGCGCGGTGAGATACTTCTTGCCTCTAGGACTGAAACAACACATTTTTGTTGTTTAAGTCATTCAGTCTGTAGTACTTTGTTACCATAGCCTTAGCAAGCTAATACAGCATCTTTACCAGGTGCTCAATATTAAGGATATGCTAATTTCATAAAAGGAATTGGATAACTGAGCACCCCTCTCTTTCTCTAAAAAGTTTGAATAGCTAGTAGGATTATCTATTTTTGGAAGATTAGATGGAACTGCGATGTTTTCCATTTGTATTCTTAATTCTTCCTTCATCAGGTTGGCCATGGATGTCTATTTAAGCAGATCCCCTTCAAAAGAATCAGCTGCTTTTTAAAATACTTGCTTTATTTTTATTTCTTCTGTGTTTTCCATTCCACTAATATTTGCTTTTATCTTTATTAATGTCTGCTTCCAAGTTCTTTTACTTTTGAATAAACTTTTTTCTAGTTTTTATGATGCATACATGGCTCATTTATTTTCAATTTCTGTTTTCTTAATACTAACAATCATTGAGGAGCACAGTTTTTAATAAGAAGTTTTCCCTTCCATTAAATTTTAGATACTCCATCATTTTAGTTTTGATTTTCCTCTTCTCTCCTTACTTGATGGTTAATAGAATTAAATGAGAGAGAAATAACAAGATGTCTTTCAATTCTGTCTTTAATATTAATTAGTTGTTTTTGCCTAAGGCCAATTACTCACTTTGCATGAACTTCTGTAATACTGACATTGTGAGGATCAAACCAACTAAATATAATGATACTTGAAACCATAAATTGCCATACATATTTAAGTTATTGTTTTCATTATTTTCTGACCAATTAGCTATATATAAAAAAAATCAGAGTACCTTAGGAAAACACCATAATTGCATCACTGAATTTTATTTATTTATGTGTAGTGTATTATCAGTCATCCCTCAAGTTGTCTACAGGTTTATTATTTTATGGAAAAATATTAACCATTCACCTACTAGCACAGTTTTAGTTGCTGTCTTTCATCAAAGAGAGAAATTATTTTAAAAATTTATCTCATGAAATAATCTCTCATTATCATTTAAAAGCAAGAACAGAAGGAACTAAGTGCCAGTTATGTATCAGGTACTCTTCTGGGGAATTTACATTCAATTCTCATAACACCCATTGTACAGATTAAGCCAGTAAGACCAAGATAGCATAAGCAAATTACCCAGGGTCATAAATCTTCAAAGCCGGTGGTCCTACCAAGCTTCTTCCTCATATAATCCAGAGATTTGAGGCAGCAGAGTTAAACTGAAGTTTTTCTGTAATGATTTCCAGAAAATGTAAAATTTCATGTCTTTTTAGAATTCTTAATAGTTTTAAGTAAAACGATTTTTTTTCAAAGAAGTAAGAGGTTCTTTTTGTTTCTCTTTGATTTTTTTTTTTTCAGGGGAGTTTTTTTTCTTGTATTACCCTCTTCAGGGTAGAATGAAACTATCTAAGAGTAGATTGTTTAAACCATACCATACCAATATTTCACATTTTTCTATCATGCTAAGTGTTAATTTCATGAATTAATTATGCATTGATATTTCATATTTAGTGTCTAAAATATGTGTAAAATTGTACAATTGCACTCATTTTTAATACTTAGGCTTCACTTAAGACCATCTATCTAAAGGCATTAACTACTATTATTTCTGTTGAGATTATGCTTAACTGAGGAAAAATTGTAGCCTAATCATAGCTTTTCAATTTTTCACAAGTACAGTTCTCTGTAGATATAGATAATTGCTATTAACTAGGCTACTGTTTATTTGAATAGATTGAACATTTAGGGAGTTACACGAGTTCTGAGTTTGAGAATCCAGAAGAGAGAAACAAAAAGAAAAAATTGTTGTATGAGTGAAAATGCTCATTACATTATGTATAATCACAAACATACGAAGACATCCTAAATGTCCAGAATATTGGATGTGTCTTGTATTATGAAATATATTGAGTTACATAAGAAACGTGCACTATATAACAAGTGGGGAAAATAATATAGAACTGGATATACAATTGAAGTCAATTATGTAAAAATATACATGCCATATATTGATGTAAATGTGCACATTTACAGAAACATATTTGAAAGGAAGTACTCCAAAATATGTTAACATGGCAGGATTTTGAAGATTTTTTTTCACTAAATTAAAAAAAATTCTCATTTAAAAAATTATAGGGAGAAGGGTTTGACTTTTTAAAAAACTACACAGTTTATACAATCCTGGATACAGAATCAACTAATTTATATAATCTCATTTAAAAACCTTATAACAGGTAAATATTGAGAACTAGACAAGTTCTTAGGTTTCTTCTGGGCCCTACTGATCCTCTGATTCTATAGGAGTAAGACTCTAGGCCTGTGCAAGCACATGGACTAAAGACACACAGGAGGCTCACACTGATCACTGTCACAATGCTGATGTACAGTGAGTGGTGTGAAACAAACACCACAAAGGAAATGAGGATAATGGGCAATACGATATTTATAGTGAGCTACAATGATCAATTCCCACAACTCCTCAGTGACTTAATCTTTTTACCTGTATTATCTGTATCTCTGCATCCATAGAGATGAGCATCAGAAGTTGGCAGAGAGGTGATGGCGGGAATCCAGCTTAGAGACTGGCTTACATGCATGATATTTTTCAAGGCATTAAATTTTTTAACCACTAAGATGGCATTGCCATTTCTACCCAAGCATTTAACTTGGACAAAGGCAATAATTCATATGCTGGGAAGCTGTGACTCCCCAGAAACCTTTATAACCTGGCCCTCATTAAACTATTTATTCTCTATCAGTGTCATCAGATTTCCATGACAACATCATGCTGTATAATTAACATAGTTTGAACAAGTCACATCTCTGCACAACTGGACACATCAAAAGAATTGCATTACTATGTCATCAGCGATGCCACCAGACAGAGCACCAGCTCCTTTCCTACACTGGATAGCAGATGTTCAAATAATGCAATGTAGGTTTTCTTAAAATAGATGCTCAGATGTGTCAAGTTTTTCAACAGGGTTAAATTCGAACTGCTATCTTTTTTTTTTCTTTTCATTTAAAAAAAATCTCTACCTGCTCAGTGTGCACCCACTCTACCTTTCTTATTTTTATGCAAAGCCAGCTGGTCCTCTCAGGCAGAGTTTGCCTGGGGCAGAAAAATGCTCTGACTGTTTATCCTGTGTGACTGATCTCCAGCTGGGAGGAATGTGTTTTTCCTAGTTTGCCCAAGGCATCTATTCAGAGGGAGATGGACGAGACCATAAAACTTTGTAAGTCAGACAATTTTGTAGTGAGATGATATTCTGCAAACAAAAATGTAAAGATACATCCGACATTGGGAGATGAAAACCCCCCAAAATTTTAAGATTTGCTCCCTATTAACATAAAATCTAAAACAAAATTCATTAAGGAAATCACCACAGGCTTTTGCTTTATTTCAAGAGTTGGTTACAATAGATGTTTGCCTATGAGACTGAAAATCAGGTATTTTGTAAGAGTTGAGTTAGCTGAAGTCAAAATTGCTGAAATATCGTCTGACAGGCATATGGCAATAGTTTTCCCTCATGTGACTTAGCATTGTTAAATTAGTTATAAAATACTTTTATCGGCAATACTGTTTTCCAAGATAATTCACACATATAAATTCCAAACCATCTTACTAATGAAAAGATAAAGAATTGCTTTGTCCAAGGGAATTACATGCTTTCAAATAAAGAATATAGTTTTAAGAAAAGATTTAACATATAGATGTTTTAAAATTTTGAATATATGTTATATAATCATAGAATGTCAATTCTTAAAATGACTCCAAAACCATGGCATTTTATTAATGAAGAAACTGAGACCCAGAGAGGAAAATTATCTTGCTTTTTGTCACTTAGCTGGTTCAGTGAAAAATCATAAGAACATTTATTCATTCTTTTAATCTTTATTGAGTTTCCTCTCTGGGCCAGGCCCTGCTCTGAGAGCTGAGGCTACAGGATCTCCTGCTCTCATGGAATTTATGGTAGACTAATGTTTCCTGATTCTGATCACAGAGCTCTTTTCATTTGCTCACATATTTCTCTCACCAAAGGACTAATCTATAAAATGTATGCACAGGTTCCAACATCTGATAAAAATACCTGTGGCTGTTGTTTTTTGTTTTACCTAGATTTATTTATCATGGTTGTTTTCTTGAAGATTATCACATTTATCCATATTAAGATGAAAACTCCCAGATCTTTATATGTCTTTCAATTAACAACTTGCATAATAAAATCTGCATTATGTTTCTTATATTAATTAACATTGTTTGGTTTGGCAGCATAATACAATTGGAAAGATTTTAGTTTCTCATCTCTGCTCCATCCCTACCCCCACCAAAAGGGAAAGAATTGCAAAATTCAAGAGATATTGATTTGCTATTTCTGTGATTTTTTTCCCCAACTTGATCTTAGTACCTGCATTAACATTCAGTAGTCATTATATGGTTATATTCAAGCAAATAATTTTTAAAAATAGCCGTATAATGTCAAATGAGATTAAAACAGTCTGCAAATAGAGTAGTAAATCAAGAAGACGTCTGAGGTTTTGCCACTAATATTCTGCAGAAATCATGTACTAACTTGGAACTTGGAAGATGTGAAACAGTGGAGTAAACGCTGGAGAGTGCCAAGTTCTGACCAGCTTCACTGGGAGCTATGTTTAAGTCAGAGTTTATGGGGAAGAAGGAAAGGTGCCTAGAGAGAGGAGAATACGAGATGACAAGATGTCATAAGAGAGGTATAGACTGACTGAGGGAAAAGATGATTGCCTATGGTTTTCCAGGTAATGGACATCAGTTACAGTAAAGTCCCAGACAGCTGTAATCACTGACCTTAGATTTCCTGAGATTCACTGTTGTCATCTCAAAACAAACTCCTCCT